GTAGTAATGGTAGCAGCAGCAGCAGCAGGAGTAGTAGTAGTAGTAGTAGCAGCAGCACCAGCAGCAGCTTAGGAGTAGGAGCCAAGAACCTAGCTGGCAAGAACGATGACCTTGCTGGCAGGTGTCATCACAACAACATGAGTGATTGTGAGCGAAGACAACAGGTACCTGAACGATTGCGTGCGCGTAAAATCATAAACTTAGAGGCATTGGCAGGAGTGCAACATTGCAACATGTACCCGCGTGCACCACCAGCAAGGCATCCCCAACTCAACCGCAATGCGACTAACATAAAGTACGACACGGAACAATGCCAGCAGACGACGACGACAACAACGACGACCACGACAACGAAAGCGAAAACGACACCGCCGCCGCCACCCTCACCACCACGACCACCACCACCACCACCAACAACAACGACAACAACAACAACAACAGTAGTAACAGCAACAGCAACAGCAACCGCAGCGGCAACCGCGGCGGCAATAGCAAAGGCCACGGCAACGACAGCACAAACATTCTTTCAACCCTAAAACGAAATCGCTTTCACATTCAATACGCGTAATCTGCTTTAAAGAGACAACTAGCCAGCACGGCGACAGCATCTGCTCCGTTGGCTTCGTGTCTTCCCGAGGCCTGCGGTGTATAAGGCGCAGCAGGGTTTCATCAACATGGCGTGCGGGTTGTGGTTATTTCGCGTTAAATGGTACCGTCGACCGCCTGGTTTCGCAGTGTTTGAAGCACTAGGTGGAACGGATAGTGAGCTCGAAACTGGACTCGTCATGTTATTCAGGAGTTGTTTAGGAGGATCTTACATGTAAGATAGCCGTTGCGAGCGGCTTGAATGGACCGTACAACTCACGTGAGGCAAGTCGAACTCTCTGACTTTTTGTGTTTGAGGCCTGGTGCTCGCAGCTTTCCGTCCCATAGGTTTGCGGCTCAGGCGGAGTCACAAATTCTGAATGCTGGGCCTTCGCTGTAGGTGCTCGCGCCTATGACCTGCAAACTGCTGTGAATCATGGGGCCTCTGGACATTCCACACCGGTAAACCACCCACCCACCCACCCACCCATCCATGAAAGCCAAGACCTCGAACCCTGCATCCAATCTCCTAAACCCGACATCCTAAACTATCACACTGAATCAGACCGGGTGGTGGACGTGGCAAAGGCAGCAGCTTCCGAATACTGCATGGCCTGCATTCCGTAGGCTTCCCCTTTTGGGGGGCTTTGGGCTTCAGTTGAATTGTTTCTGAAGAAAGAAGCGTTTCTAGTAACTACCTCGGGTGCTTGGCAGCATCAAACTTCAGATGCAATGCAGGTTATTTATGATTCAGCTTCGAGCTTAGAGCCTAGCTTCTGATATCTGGGCTTTTGGATTGCACTTTGGTCAACTTGCTGCAGGCTGCTGCTATGCTTTAGATCTGGGAATCTAAGACGAAGGACTTCGGGTTGAGGCTTTCGGACTCTTGCCGCTTCCTCTCCTCGATTCAAGGTTTGCCTAATTCCGGTGTTGGATTTCGGCTCAGGTGTTGCAAAATACAGTGCCATTTGCACGGCATGCAATGATTAGGTGATTAGGCCCGGCTCAGAAACACTCTGAGCAGTGAGGTCCATGTTCATGTTCACGCTTTCTGCCAGTCAGCACAGGCTCTTTGCAACGGGGACGGAGGCGATGGCCGAAACTGCCCAAGCCCTAAACCGGAAAGGCCCGGTTGGGCCTGGCATAGCTGGTAGGCGTCCTCGGCCCAGCGCCGGGCCCAGGCTTCGGACCTGACTTGCTGCTGCCCTAGTAAAGAACTGCACACGCAACTACTCAAAACCAAAATCTTGAGTTCGACGTGCCGTTGCTCGTCGGTCCACAGATAGCGGAAGCAGCAGTAATCCTTGAGTGCGTGCGATTAGAAAACCCCGGCGAAAACAGCCAGAAGCACCTCTCCAGCATCTGAAACTCAGCCACGGGATCCTTGCAGCAGGGTTCTGGGTTACCAGGGCCAGCCCTATGCATCCTGCGGTTTAAGCATGCGGTTGGAGGATGCTTGGGCTTTAGATTCAAGAAAGTGCTTGGAGTCGCAGATTTCGGCCCGCCAGTGTTTTCTGACATGTATCCAACCGCACAGAACCTACACACCCATGCCGTTAGAGAGCGATTCCCCCAGTCTGTGAAAAACCAAAACCGCGATCGTGGCGGAAATCCTGAACTTTACTCTAACTAGTCCTCATCCCCATATCACCGGCATCTTCGTTACCCATTTCACCAACAGCCAGTCAGTGAACCACAGTATGCCTGTCAGTTTACCAAACGACGAAGAAAGCCTAAGTAAGCAAGCCAGCCCTTGGAGCACCTCAAACTGTTGGACCATGGTGTTGTCCAAAGCATGGCTGTTGCGGTCCGCCTCACAATGGTCAACATCAAAGATCTTCACAGGTAGGCCCTGCCGAGGCCTCCTAGACAAGCAGATGCTGTAGCACGTTCCCAACACGTACAAAAGACACTAAGTATCTGTGCACATACCTGTAGACACATCCGTATCTGTGTTTTCACGAAGCCACTCTGCCCAATGGCAATGCAAAACACAACTTCACAAGCTGTCGCTGGTCTCGCGGTTTTCAGGATAAGGTATGAAACCATGTTCTTGATGCAAAACTCCACAGCCACTCGACAACCTTAGCCCGCAAAGCTCATCGTGAATCCCAGGTCCTACCCCGACATGCTGATATGCTGCTAGCGTCACAACCGCCTAGTCGCAAGAGTCGAAAGGGCTGACAGCTGTCTCAACCCAAGCGACTGTAGGGCGAAGAGTCTGGCATGCTTTGCTCAGATAAACGGCCTTCACAAATCGCACACGTAACAGGTTTCAAAGACATCCGAAAGCACATTCGACTACACATGCACGAGTATTTTAGCTGGTGTTCTCCATGCTTTGTGGAACTTCGTGAGTCCTCCGCAGACCTCCAAGCCCTGCGTGAAAGCGCTGAACCTCATAAAACCAAACCAAGCCATGTGGAAGCCCGAACCCCAAGCGGACCGCGATCTCTCTAGCTGCAGCGAGAGATTGAATGTTGGAGCAGCAAGCCTCGCAAGACCCGAAACTCCTGCCGAAACCAAAACAACCCGAATGGGCCTTGGGCATACGGCAAACATAATAGTCTATGCCACCCTCCTGCGGCGAGGGATGCGGCTCCGAAGGCTACAGCAACTTGGAGAGAGTCTTGGACGTTCTTGGCTTTGTGAATTCATCAAGGCTCAGAGGTCGAGGAACGCAGGGGGCATCGTGCTATGGGACTTTGCGGTTGTGAACTTGCACGGTATTGTGTATGGAAGACTGAGAACTGGTATTGGCTGCTAGACTAAACACCCATTGTTGTGAAACTCGTTACACGTAGATGTGCTACGTGTATGTTGCGTCGCTGTGGCGTTGGAACCTTGTCAACTGACATTCTGACTGCTGCCACAAAAACAATTGACTCTCTCTTGGTGATCAGGATGCCTTCCAGATTCTACACAGAGCAGAGAGGGATGCTTCCTTGAGCCTACTTCGAACATGCAGTCTTCAGACGCCAACAAAAGATTTCAGGTTGAAGGGTTGCGACCTAATGCCTGAATTCTGCAAGACATGCAGAACAATGAAAATTCGTTATTCCAGGTCATTGCGGCTTTCGGATTCTTTTGTTCGGCTGACTATGACCTACCGTCACGGCTATCCAAGAGGAGGGCTACCATGTGGGCCCACGGTATAGAGTCCGTGTTTTAGAAAACCCCAAGCACACCAGGCCGTCGCAGAAAACGAAGGCATAGATCAATCCTGAGAATGCTGTTGTGATTGTGGAGGGCACCGCGCCGTAAAACCAAGATGGAAAGCCAAAACAAATCCAAAACACTAAAACCCAAACCCAAAAGTGCCAAATCCTCACCTGGAGCAGAAACCTATGCGAGTTTTCCAACAGCCGTCGGGAAATGTGCAGTGCACCCGTATATGGCTTCCTGTTTAAAGCTCATCTCGGTTGTGCCCCTTGGAACCAGCCGGTCAACATCCTGCAACACTGCGCACGTTGCGAGTTTTCAACCCTGAACTGCACCAAAAACAACGACTGCAGCCAGCCTGAGATGTGTGCTCGTCCCAAGGGCGGCCACACACCTCGTTATTGTTATAAGTTTCTGCATTTTTTTTTTGGGGGGGAGGGGTGCTATTGGCTGGGTCGGGCAATGTTTGTTAGGTGTTGCGAAAGTCGGCGGCACTGGTTGATGAACACTTGCAGGCTCTTGGCAACCAACTAGTTTGCTGTCCTGTGCTGTGAGCAACCCCCTGCTTTAAAAACAAAAGCAGACACGATCTTCAAGCAATGACTTTGTTTCAAGACGTGCTTGCACACGAGCGAAAACAGGAATCGTGTAAGCATCTGCAACACGTGACAGGAGCTCGGGGGCCAACCCGGTTTCCCTCTCTCTGTGTATGTGTATATATATATATATTTATGTTTATATGTTTATTTATTTTTATGTATGTATGCATGCATGTGTATATGTATGTATATATGTATAAATATAATATATATATATAGGTATGTATGTATGTATGTATGTATATATATGTTAGTATAAGATGTCTGACACACACTCAGGTCATCCAGCTATACATACGTGCATATGTTACGTGTACATAGATAGATAAATAGACAGGTATATAGATAGATAGATAGATAGATAGATAGATATAGAGAGATAGATAGATAGATAGATAGATAGATAGACAGATCGTATAAGATGTCTGCTCGATCACAGTGCAAGCCATGCGAAAGGCACAGTAAGTTAGTAAGGCGCCCTGAAGAACCGAGCTGCTCAGCAAAGAAACAGCAAGCCAAGCCAACACTCTGCAGCGCAAACTACTACAATTACCGAACAGAGGTTCTTGTCAAAGTGAAGTGAAGCGAAGCGAATTGAAGCGGTACACGAGTAGCTGGTTCGACCTGCAAACTGTCGAAAAAATCTCGTATTCTGGCAGCATAGGCACCGAAGTCCGAAGTTGAAAACTAATGCAGCTCAAAACTAACCTTCGCAAAAACTGAAGCCGAAGCACATTAAAGCCTACACTCCAATCCGAACACACGCAAACGGTAAACCTCAAATCCTAGTGTCTGAGTCCCTAAGCCAGAACCACAGCATCTTCACAAAATAGCTGCGTCACATAGCAGAAGTGAGTTCCACAGCGACAAACCTCAGGTGACCAGTATGGAGTGCATGGTGGGCTTCAAGTGTCTAAAACAACTATGGGGGGCCGAAATCACAATAGATGAGGATCCGACATACTGCACTTTCAAGAGGTCCTTTGCCGGTCTAAAGGCGGGATCCTTGGATCCTGAACGTAATAAGCCACGCCAAGCTTGAGGGGTAGGAATCCGTGTCGATGTCTCAAGTTTGGCCAAATCGTCTTCATTGGCCAAGACAACGCAAAATGCCTCTTTGAAATATTTTGCACCAGCTCCGCGCAAAGGGGCAGGAACCCAAGTCGACAACAGCAAAGCCACCTGAAATCCCACATTCCCGCAAGCCTTAAGCAGGTCCACGCCACTACACTCCAAACCCCCCATACAGCCTCACAGAAGTCCACCCGCACGACAGCAACAAAACAGCACGCACAATTGGAGTTGAGCGACCATGTGGTTGCATCCCCCGTTGCGCTGGACGATGGCCCGACAGCCAGGGCAGTGCTGCGCATTCCGTCGGACCCAGCTCTCGGCGCGGTCCTGCTGCCGCCTGTCTTGGGTCAGATTTCTTGCGTGATCGGAGTAGGGGCTGAAGGCACTTTTTTGAGGGGGGAGGTGGGGGGGTGGGGGGCTGAGCTTCCGGGTACTGGTCTGTAGGCCTAACTAACGGGCGTCAGGACCGACCAAGCTAGCTAGATCTTTCACTGGCCCTGCACCTCTCACGGGCACACTCAAGATGTCAGAAGCCTGGTTGAGTTGTCGAACATTTCTAGCTTCATCGGTTGCAGGTGGCCATACCTGGACCTGGATGAGATGAGTTCAAAGCTTCCCGTTGGATGACTGACATTGACTGACAAGGTCTTCAGCTTTAGAAGCGAACCTGCTGTGGCTTGGCGGCATGTGTGTAAATGAGGTGAGCGACCGCACTCGTGCCGAGTTACAGTCAGCAACACGCAACGTAACAGCTCAGCAGCGACAGTACAGAATAGACTTGCAACCGGGGCCAGAAACAAGATGTCTACGTTTGGTTTCTCTCTGGCTGCACAAAGAACTGTGCAAACGAAGCCCTCGACACATCTCTCAGTTCTTAAAGAAGTTAAGAATCTGCACCGTTTTACCCCGCGAAGGTTCAGAGCGACGTAACTTTGTGTCTGAGTGGCTGCCGTTGCTCCTGGGCCCCGACAAAGTCCCCATGGACAGCCTGTGCATTTGGGACCGCTGGGGCGACACTGTAATTGTTTGGACTGAACACATCTGCACATACACATCCACAAACGGTTTAATGTGCAACGACGACTCGCTCAATTCAGAGCCATTCTACAGAACTGGCATGGAACCTGTCATCGCACGAACATGCTCTGCTATACGTCAACAACCTGAAATGCTCAAGGCCCAAACTTCCCAACTCCTTCTCAAACCTGTTCAAGCACTGGCCAGGCCGCCTTCCATTCCGCAATCTGCTCACAAGTGCAGGGCTCGTGACCACCTGGAAGCTTGCCTGCAGGGCCAGTTTTGTGAATTTGGTGGTGAACGGCCTTGGGCGGCTCTCTTCTTCTTACAGGATGCAAAGAGAACGGCCTCGGCCGGATTAAGAGGTTGCCACTTTGGATATCTTAGACGAATCTCCACTGACAATGTCTGCTCATGAGATTACGCAATTGCGGCCATCCTGTCATACTCTGCTGAGAGACCGGGTACAGTGCTCGAAACCTAGAAGACAAAGTAGAAGTCGTAGTAGGAGTGGTGGTAGTAGTAGTGGTCGTCCTCAAAAGGGTTACTGCTATTCATCTGCTTGTGGTAGTCCAGATCCAATCTCAGTGGTTAACCGCGCGGGCCCATCAAATGTCGTTGTAATCCTGCCAAGATGCAGCTGGAGCAGAAGGTGTAACCGCATGCACACCGCACGGTGAGGCCGCCGGTCCTGGCCACAGCCTTTTCACAGCCCGGCTGCGGACACCTCAACTTGCTCTTCCCAAGAAATAGCAATGCTTCCCAGCCTCCCCAAACTAGTTAGGAACTGACGGCGCTTCAAGAGTTCAGCTTACACACTTGTTGAATGTGCGGGCCGCAGCCGTGCATCTAAGAGACATCAAGAGAGAGAATGAATGGCTTCAAAGGCTTTAGAGGAGAACGAGTACGACGAAGAGGACTAGTTTCCGCCACTGATACTGGGACGACAGTGTCGACGATGATTAGACTGATTGCAAACAGCCAAAGTGTCATCAGCGAAACGAATGGTATGCTGGTGTCAGGATGCAGAGCCTCGGAGGAAGTGCAAAGTGACCACTGGCACAACCGACCTTTGGGCAACCGAACGCGACTCTTCAAATCCAGTGACCTCAGGCCCAACACGCTCGGACGCAAAGGAAGCCCCAACTACAGCCCCAAACCAAGGGCACCAGCAAATGTGGGCCGCAGCATCCACGGCCTGAACATTGTATCGAACGATTTCTGGCGTAGCAACTGATAGAACCGATGTCTATACTCGCAGATGGAAGCCGAAGAGCTCGACTTCTCATGTAATGTACTGAAGCTGACACTGGTCGGCGTAAGCCTGATGCGTCATGTTTCCATTTGTTCTTTCACTACATTACAAGTGACGAAGAAGGCATGATCGCTGTTACAGTCCACACATCCGTGCTAGTACTATTTTTTGGTGGTTAGTGTTCAGTGACTGTAGTATTTGATGAAGTTGAACTGAAGACTAGAATGGAGTCTTCTCGTTGGGCAAAACTTGCAACGGCATTTTGAACTTCATCGGCCACACATATTGTGGGGCAGACAGCAGTAGGTAAAGTAGGTTGTTACAATACCGAGCGCAAACGACGCAACTGCTATTTATTGGCTCGGAAAGGTTCGACGCCCAGCTTGCTGCGACAGGCTAGTGCGGTCGGCGCGGTGTGAACGATGATAGCAGGGGACGTGGCACTCCTCCCCCCACCGCCCGCAGCTGAACCCTGATCGAAGGAATAGGTTGGGGTTCAAAGCTCAGACTTGACTCTCCACTATCACACCTCAGGCTCGCCATCAACACCTGCGAAAAGGTCGAGGTCTAAAGATCCAACAGAGCAGCAAATACTGATACTGCCCTACTAGTAGGGCGACAACCGAACCTAATCAAGAAGACATAGAGACCTTTTATGACTATGCCCCAAGTTCAAATCCCCAACCTAAACCTATGCAGGCGCCTGACGCGCGGCAAGCCGAACAAACTTCTGCCGCGCAGCAGATCCCAGGATGCCTCTGCGAGCTTTCACTGCATCGTAGGGTGGAGGCGTTTTCAGGAGGTTAAAGGTTTGGGCCAGGGCTTAATAAAATGGGCTCGCGAGTCTGATGCAGGACTGCTGTAATCGGAGATGCTCCAGTGGGAAACCGAAGTACATGAGTCGGGACAGACTGGGAATTGAACTTTTAGGACTTCTTGGAATAAGGGTGCGGAATTGCATTCACTGGCGCATTAGGGTGTATCCTTCATGTTGAATGTAGGCTTTGCCATCCGTTGCGAGACTAAATGCAGTTTACATGTTGTCTGCTTCCGGTCTTCAAGAAATGATCCCACGGCTCGTAGACTTGCAATCATCGCCTCAGGACATTGAAGACATCTTCGGGCAGTAGTCCTACGCCGTAGACTCAGACAGCACACAACTAGGTCTAGATAGGGTCTAGATACTGAAAATGGCCGCAGGGCCTACATGTTGTTAACAGCCATTGGAATCCTCGGCAATGATAGCCTTTTCCGGGTGTCCTTAACGCCCTGCTGAAAATGAGAAACGAAGCACATGACACTTGGCCCAACCTGCGAATGCCCCCCTCAAGAACAAAGGCCTTCAATGCACGCCTCGCCCAAAGGCAGTCGGCACTCGGGCTCCTGGTAGGACATCGGCCACGGTTGGGAAACCTACGAAGCCTCACCTTGCCATACGCGATAGATAGCATAAACTACACAGAGCATGGTGTAATCTCGGCTTCAACGAATTTATGTGCAAAGTGTCCAATAGGTGGATGCGCGCACACACACACACATGTGCATGCGTGCCAACATCAACTCCGATTCAGCTCACGAATTAAGAGCATTTGCAGAAACAACATGCAAAGTATTCACAATGCTTGGCACTGTGGAGTTAAATTCATCCCGGTTTTCGCCCGCTCGTAACCTTGTGCTGTATATACCTGACTGGACAGATGCAGCCTGTCGGTACTTGTGATAGGATGTAGGCATTAACACACTTGTAGCATCTTGTAGCCAGAATAGCACTCAGGCACCGTTAGCATGTATGAGTTTTCACACCAGTGCAGAGATTGATAGTGCTGGTTGCCTGCATAGTATTCTGGCAACCTAACACACGAGTGATCCAACAATAACCGACAATAACCCATACACTCATGGAAACCAATGTACTGGCGGTACTTTGGCAATAAGTAGCAGCATCCCTGTTAAGCGCGCCACTACCAAGAAAACCACTACAACTCCTAACGCGCTGGTAGTGTCTACGGCTGTCAGCCAATGTAGTGGTACCCAGCTAATTACACGACAAACTATGAGATAGTATTCGCAGCTTTCGCAGTACAACTAGTGGACTGTGCTACCTGTGCTGGGCAATACTAAGAAGCCTGACCATGGCGAACGTCGATACTACAAGCAACTAAGAAAGCACTGCCATTGCTAAGCGATCGCAGCTGTCCTAATAATACTTAGTTGCGCAAAACTACTACGAATAATGGAGCTCACAAGTTATGCTCCTGATATCCACATATAGTCCGGATACAGCTCATGAATCCCTTTGAAGTACATGCTATACGGCCAAACACGGCCTATGGGCGTCCGGATCCGTGCTTCCTTGTGCAGGTCACAAAACCCGTCGTCTCGTTTTTGTCGGTCCCTGGATCTTGGCTCTTGGCGTTCAGTATTCCAAGTTTGTTAGCCATTGCTAGCCCCAACATTCCAGTCCACAGTCCAGATTTTCGGGTTTCCAGACAGCTCCTCCGGATTTCCGGATCTCCATGTTTGTTAGCCCCAGCCCCAGATTACGACACCCCAAGTTGGCCAAGATCCATGCAGAGACCAGTTTTCTGGTAAAACCTGGAAGCTCGTAAATCCCTACAACTCGCTGAAGCAGATTCGATGCGGTGGGTGGAGGCAAGGCTTCTTACATATCTCTCTCCGTACATAGTTTTGAGATACATCTGCACACATGTCTGTGGACAATACTGAATGTGTAGTACCGAGTAGAAATGCCGAGTACTGCAGGGGCCCGCAGCCTGAATCCCACATGAGCCGAAAACTGAACCGGCTGAAGGTCCCACCGTGCTTTTGTTGGGCTCTAGAGTCTTGGGACTGTTCTTCTTCATTGTCGAACGTCCGTCTTTGAAGGATCGTAAGGAGATTTTACAACTTGGAGACGGCCCTCTACACTAAGCCCCACAGGAACAAGAGCAATGCCATGCAGACGCCCCGGAACATGTACAAAGTCAGGATCTGTGCCAACTGACAGATTGAGACAGATTAGGGCTCAAGGTTGAGGACATTTTGCCAGCCTTGTTCGGTAACAAGTGATCGCCAAGTGGCTGGGCAGACCATGCCTCTGACATTGCCAGAAGCCAGCAGACCCTCCAGATACCTCAGCCATGCTTTAGTCGCCTTCCAATTTTCAAGTGCAGCTGCCGGTGGGCAATTTCACGCGATTAATTTAACCGTTGAAAGCATCAACGGAAAAAGCCAGCCTAGGCACTGCCGCAGGCATGCATCACCTAAGTCAGTGACGCACTCCACACTAGAAAGCTCCACACCAGGATCAGAGACAGGCTTGAACCACAAACACAACACAAGTGACCAAACCAAAAGGTACTAATGCCGGCCACGGTGGCAAAAGGCATGCGACCCCTCACAAGGCAGCAAGCGGCGCAAAGAGTCGCCACCAGGTTCTAGGCCTCTAAGCAAAGCTCTCGTCGTGGAAAAATATTATCGGATTAGGGGCTTGCGATTTTGAGTTGAATGTCTCAGTCCATTGGGTCTAGATAGGCGATCACGTAACTCGAGTGACCTTCATGAAGGTCGGTAAGGGAAGCCTTGAAGACGCGAGTCCATACAACATGCAACTGGCGCCTGCGAATCTAATTGTAAACGCCAATCCCGACCGCAAAAAGAAGCCCTAGAGGTCAGAACACATCCAGGCCAAATGCAATCACTGAAACCCAGGACTT